GTAAGAACATTGTGTTAATTTACTGCAATATTGTAATATTATCATAATAAATTATATTGTCTGCCTGTCATTGCAATATTTTATTTAAAGTATCAGTATGTAGCTTTTTAACTAAAAAAATAGACAAAAAGAAAAGTTCTAAAAACATGGGCCCTTTTTCTGAGCGGCCTTGCATTCCCTCATTGGCCCTGGACATCTCCACCTGCTTGTTTCCAAAATATCTACCTTCTGAAGGATTATTTTAACTTTCTATTTCTGTGAAAAGCAGATTATGTGCTACTTCAAGAAGGATTAATACTGTATCGTAAATAAAAAATCAAAAATACATAAAAGTCTATGCTGTTTGGTCTTCTTTCATCTCTTTGCTGGAACAGCGTCATGTCATTTTTCAAGTTGATTCACTGACCTCCTCTCCTTGACCTGGTTGCTCTGATCTTCTTGCCTCACACACAGTTCTTTTACATTATGAGAGGTCTCTTGATGAGCGGTGCCTGCAGACTGTATGCCACATCTCCTGCCTATTTTGACCTTGTGTGGTTTTGGCTGCTGCTCCGTCTGACCCGCCAGCCGCCTTTCTAATTTGGTGATGAGCTGTAAAGTGACCTGCCTGCCCCCACGGCCAAGCGACTGGACTAAAAGTGAGATTCCGGGGATTTCCTTACAACTCCTGCGTTGGATGCACGATACAGAATACACACCCTAAGCATGTCACGTTCCTCTGTCTTTCACCTCCTTCACCAACCAGGGGACCACTGGCTCTAAAGTGCAGCCCGGGCACAGCTCCGTCCAGACTCCGTACCTCTGGGTAAGATGAGACTGTAAGAATAATTGATGAACTTGATGGCGATGGGAGGAATAGGGGACCACCTCCTGCAAAGGGGTGAGTGTCCAGGCTCATCCATTTGGACTAATTAGTTTAAGCTCACTACAGGTTCTTCTAAGCATAGGGTTTCACTGTGCTTCATCAGCTGCTCATGACTTTGAGCCATTCCATCAGTAAATTATAGTAGATTAAAATATAATAGGCCTTGTGTAACTTTTCTGTTGGAGAGTCCATGAAATGCTTTTCTCCATGGAGATGTAAATGCTTTGTCTACAGCGTTTCATAGTATGGTATATATTAAGCCTTTCTGCCATTCTATTATTGAGCTATAAATGACCTGTAATTTAATAAATGTAAGGTAAAACTGTTTAATGCCATACTGTGGAACATTCCAGGCAGTGCAATGACATATCAATAGAAACAAGCAGGTGATGGACTCTCCAACAGAAAACTTAAATAAGGCACCTTTAATATGCATTTTTAATATTTTTAGAGAAGACTTTTGTGTCTAAATTATATATCTATATCTATCTATCTATCTATCTATCTATATATATATATATATATATATATATATATATATATATATATATATATATATATATATATATATATATATATATATATATATATATATATATATATATCATATATATATATATATTTTAGACACAAAAGTCTTCTCTAAAAATATTAAAAATGCATATTAAAGGTGCCTTATTTAAGTTTTCTATTGCTCTGTAGGTACTTAGGCACTTCCCAAGATTTAAAATATCTGCTAAAATACTCAGTACTTTAATGGGCGACAATTGTAATTCCCACTATATTTATCTTAAAAACGACATGTAACGGTGAACTATATTAATTAGCCTATTATGTATTTACTTTCTTTACTAAGGAGGATATGTGCTTTCAAGGTCAACAAATACTCCTTCAAAGTTTGACACATGGTTCAAAAATATACTTTTTTGTTTTGCTTTTCCCCAGACTCTCACTGATCCAATACCTAGGCCTACTCTTGATTGTTTCATTTCAGGGGGCTGAGGGGGATACAGGCAACTCTAATCCAAGGCCACAGAAGAGGTTTAAGACACTCTGGTTTCATCTAATCTTCCAGCTCAGACCTAGTCGAGCTTGAAACCCGCTTTCTCCATGATAGGAATGGACAAATAAAAGTCTCTCCCACCACTCTCATGAAAGGGCTCTGTGTGCACTGTGGATTACTGGCCTGTTCGCCCTGCTCTCTTTCTCATTTAGACTGAAAAGGATGAAAAATAAAGCCTCCCCTGTTTGAGCAGCTATGTGAAGCTTGCTACATATTTTCTGTCATGATGTTTGATAGCATATCAGTCTAATAAAGAAACAAAACAAACAAACTTCAAATGCTTCATACTACAAGTGCAGGGAGGGGGAAGGAAATCATTATTGGATTTTATTGAAGAAACTCTAGGGATGGGACTAGATAAAACAAGACATGAGATTGGGTCCACAAGAATGAGGTGAGACAGGGACTTTGACATCATTTCTAACAAATAAATTATGCAGTGCAGTTCACAATTTTGGTGTCACCATTCTTTTCTTTATTTTATATTTGGAACTGCTTTTTGGAACTACAACTTCTTTAAAAAAAAAAAAAAAAAAAAAGGAATCCAAATGTAATCACATGGAAAAGAAAGCCTCACAAGAGAATGGGAGTGCAATGTAATTTTGTCTTGCAAGATCTTGTGGCTCGAGATCTTGCCCCATCCTAGTTTGAACTTTTGTTGTGTTTGCTCAGAACAAACTTCCATGAAAACAGGAACAATGGAACAAAACCTGTGCACATTTACTGTATACTCAGATATGAACAGCAGCAGTGGGAGTTTGCTAAGGCCTCTGAGGAGTGAAAGTCCCAAAAGCAGCTCCTGTTCAAACTGCTGAAAGAGAGTGAGAACCCTTATATTTATATCTTGATGTTGAAGAAAAATCCATTGTCTCAGGTCTGAAGCTGAAAGTCTCTCACTTCAGCCACCAGGTGACACAGACCGAGCTGGGAACACCAGACTATTGTTTGACACAGTCTGGGGACAACTACAACCACAGTGTTGTTACCATCACTGTGGAAAAGTTTACTCCACTAGAGGTGGTCCTGAGTGGTTTTCATAAGACTGTAGAGGAAACAACAGTGGCAGATGTAGAAGAGGTCCTTCTGGTGAGGCTACCGTCATTTTACTCAATGCTACTCAGCTTTTTGAAGTAGATGTGTCAGGAATTGTCCTTCAGGGGACTGCAAATAAATACAATGGTCAGCTCAGCACTAGAAGAACCTGATATTACTCCTATCAACATGGTTGAAGCATCTAACTAGGCGTGATGAGATGGAAGTCACGGATGTTTCTCCCCGTGTCTGGATAGGTTTCCTCCGGGCGCTCCGGTTTCCCCCATCAACCCAAAACATGCTACAGGTCTCCAAGAACAGTTAATAGTCATGGTCAGTTAAATACAATCAATCAATGAACCTGCCCAGGGCACTAGTGCTAGTGGCTAGACACTTCACCCACATTGCTGGTGGTGGTCGGAGGGGCCGTTGGCGCCGATTGAAATGGCAGTCGCGCCTCTGTCAGTCTGCCCCAGGGCAGCTGTGGCTACAACAGTAGCTTGCCATCACCAGGTATAGAGTGAATGAATAATATATGCTGAATGTAATGCTCTGTAAAGCGTCTTTGTGACAAAAATGTCTGTGAAAAGCGCTATATAAATGGGGACTTACTTAACACCAGAGAAGATGTGATAAATGAACTAGTGGTTCAGTGGTTCAAGATGAAGAAATAGAGACTCTGGATTGTGTGACTGAAACCTCTCAACCAGAAACAGGGTGAAGAAGACTAGAAGACACCAGCAGTGGAGGTAAATAAGGTCTTGGAAGATCTCATGGGAACAAATACTAGAGGCATATAGAAGACTACAAAGGATCCAGCGAGAGGCCAAAATAGGAACTTATGAGTTTCACGTGGAATTATTCAATTAAATTTTTACATAGCTTACGAAAACCAAATATACCATTATAATTTATTGTGCTATTTAGTTTTGTATGTAGGCCTAAAATAAAATAATTATTAATTAATGAACGAGTAGTAGTTTATTCTTTCCTCGGCATCAGTATATTCAAACAACATCAGTGTAACACCTGCATTTTCATATAGGATACTAAAATACCTACTTTACACAGAAAATGTTTATACATGCATACATATACGAGATTTAGTTACAACAAAACTTGTACCTATAACTGAATTTCGTCATTTATATGATCAGTAATAAAACCCTGAGAGATCGTTTCTTTCTATACAGGCATCTTAACGGGAAGCCACACCACTGAAGCCGGGGTCTTTCCTGCATGTTTTGTTTTTGCTTTGAGAAGAAGCGTGGGAGAAGTAAACTGAAGAGAAGACTGACTTTAACCACATGCAGCGGGATCCATCTGACCCACATGGTAGTTTATATTTTCATTCGTAAAAATACATCACAGTAGTAGTGGTGTCTTAATGTGAATATTAGCTTGTTGTTAACCGTGATGGTCACAGTTTTAGGAAGAGGAATTGAACGGATTAAAACAGTGGAAGCGACACTACTAGCACTTCTGTACTCGAGCATATTATGTATAATATAATATATATTACGATATAACGATTCCACATGAGGATTGCAATTCAGTCCACGAGGTTTGTGTTCGCTAAACCTAACAGATGACTTATAATCCTGTTGGCTTATCGCCGGACACTAGCCTTCAGCACAGGGTTTGTCTGTCAAGCATTTCTCTATTACTTATTCTGTCTTTGCGCTGTCACTCACTGCTCAAAAACAGAAACTTGACCATTGCATCACGCAGGTTGTTTATTGTTCACGGCATCCTGTTGTGATCATAACCTTGACTAGTTCTAACCAGTCAGATCGCAGTGGTGTGTAGGCTGTCTCACCTAAGATACCTGCTGATATATGTGACATGATGCTGTCATCCCTCTTGTGTCTCTTTATCCAGGAGTGTCCAGGTAGATGATGCTGTGGAGGAAATGGGCGATAGGGCAAACAGATAAGACTGTGGTACCTGACTGTTGCAGTGAGGAGGTCCTAAACCAAAAGCGGCTGACATGGTACTCCATCAGAGCCTGGCTCAATGACACCCACAAGCCACTGAGTTCTTATCAGGCCTGGCCCCTGCTTAGCATTCACGCCATTCACATGAACAATGCCACCTCTTCCCGCTCACTGGACCTGTGACTGACAGTGGGTGTTGGTGCACTTGTGTCCATCTTGAGCCTGTATCTGACGCTGGCTGTTTGTCCAGTCCATACCCCCCCACCAAGACACAATAAAGGGCGTGTGCCTTCCTCCACACTTCCCTCACTGTTTGTCTAACTACACTTTTATAATGGAGCAGCTCCGCTTTCAGCACAAGCGCTTCCTCCACAGTGCGATAGGTAAAGTTTGTCTTTGGTTCATAATTGATCCAGACTTCAGCTCAGTGTTGCCGACCACTAATATTAAGGACAGCAAGTGTAGCCTTATATAAGTGTACATTTATTCACCCTCATGGAAGACTAGCCAGCTCAGTTTAAATACAGGAGTCATATAGCTCCGTAAAGGACTGGCCATAGATCTCTGTTATTGGTTACTGCAATGTTGTGGACTGTTGTATTATCAGATATCTATGATGACTATGATGGATTACAACCGCATATTTTAGATTGCATGTATTACCAGTTTCATGTGCTCAAAAATGGCCCATATAGCTGTCTGTTGATAGGTGCACATACATTTTTATTAGGCTTAGTAAGAAAACAGAATATTCCTTTCTCTTTTAGCCAGGATTAATATTTGGTTCTCTTGGTTTAAAATCTGTCTTTCACTGTGTAGAGTATCTTGACTGCATGCTTTTTAGTTATGTGTAATCTGCTCTCTGTTTTTCATCAAGCAGCTCAGATCTCATATTTGACCACTCCGATATCACAAGATCTTGGGTTCCTATGCCCCATAATGGCTCCTGTCTAGGCAGGCATTATAAAGTTTCTATAATAAACCCCCTGTGATCAGTATATCCTCTATGTCTTATTTATGAATGGCTGAATTTGACAAGGGGCAGCTCAGGTGGGGTAGCTGCTGATCACATGATACTGAGGCAGGAATTTGGACTGCCCCCATAACATTTGATGGCTCATATCATAAGTCTCCTCCCTCCCTCTCTCCTTCTTGTATGTGTGGTGATGCTGAGGTGAGCTGCACAGATAGTGGGGTACGTTTGATCTGAAGGTCGCCAGCCCCTTGCCGGTGTTGAGAGATGCTTGGCGGACTGGGTTGGCTCTTATTTAATAACATGAAGGGGAAGCGGACCTTTCTCTCATAATTAGGCCTAATTACGCAGTAGGTGTGGACAGACGGCCCAAGAACAGACAAACTGCCTTTATCCATGGACTTAGAGTCAGATTACACAGAGCTGTCTTATCTGTTTCAGGGCCAACGGCAGCCGCAGCCCTCCACTCCAGCCTCTTCCCACTGGCTCCTGTTCCTACTCAGGTATATTAGTAAGTCCCCTTGATTTATTATGTCCTGTCATGGACTCACAGCTTTAATTAACTTGTTACACTATTAAGAGGTTTTGATTGACCACTGTAGCAAGGTAGACCAGGTCACTGTTCTAGTATTATGGCATATACAGTATAACTTCACTCACTAAAGAACATCTATTTATTTTTTAAATTATTATTATTATTATTATTATTTATAATTGATTTTGACTGCACATATCCATTCAACTGTATTCAGATTCAATTTGCAGTTATGAGATAATTTAGTTTTTAAGCATTTACTAGTGAATTATGTGTTTCCTTTTTTTATAATACTAATATTAATTAATTATTTATTTATGTATTATTATTATTATTGTTGTTATAATTTTTTTACACAAAATACAAAAAAACATATAAAAAAATTAAATACATATTAGAAAACAGTGAGGATCCAAAAACCTCAAACTTAGACACAAAATGTCAAAAAGAGCACAGTGTGGATATACAAACAAATATACATAAGCGCGATTCCTTTACTGGCATGACCAAATAAATTTTCTTTTAACTTAGTGCTTTGTTAAAGCTATATCACACTGTTGATAACTACTCATTAATCATATATTTTTCATACTCACTTGACGTTCCTGCTCAATTTACTAATTTATTTTAGTTTTGAAGTTTGAAGCTTCTTGTTAATCCATTATCTGGGACTAGCCTGAGTATTCAAGTTCCGGGTTTAAATATTTGCTCCTCTGTCTCTTTGTGCTACCAGAGAACAATTCAAGCATCCATGTAAACAAATTTGAGTGACGACTGGCCTCCATCTTGTTTGTTTACAGTATTTGAGCAGCACACAAACTTGTATCTTGGGTGTTTTAAGTGTCTCGTGCTGGCACCACTGGAGCATACCTATTGTTGGTGGCACTTCCATGGCTGGAAATGCTGACTTTGAGATAACAAGAAAAATACCTCAGGAAGTAGTGACAGGAGTTAGATTTGTGTTGCAGACTTGGCTTGTGGAATAACTTGTCACTTTGTTGTGTATACTAATAATTACTGTTGTGATGTTGATTCAACACTTTTTTTAAATTTAAGATGAAATATTTGCACATTACTGCTACAATACTACTACTTCACACAAAGTTACGTGGATTTCAATAATTTATTTTCAACACTTTTTTTCAGTTCTGTGGTACATAAAGAGGCTATGAAACTGACTTATGAACTAATACAATCTTTATATCACAATCAAATTTAAATAGGTCTGTTAACAAGCATTTTGACAGGTGACAGGTGAAGTTTTTTTCCCTGTCCTGTTCCCTGACTGTTTAACCTGTTGGGGAACTGAAAATGGAAAATAGCCACGTTGTTTATGATTTTTACATATTTACATTTTATTTGTACATTAATATGTGCTCTCCCATAACAAGTAAATCAAAAATAAAATAAAATTACAAAATAAAATGTACCCAACAAAGTGACTGAGTGCCTGTCCAGCATTGTCCTGAACTGGTTTATTTTGAGTGACATTAAGCTTTGACAGGCAATGGAGAGTCTTAAAGAGCAGACAGTGAAAATAGACAGATTTTTTTGTTCTGTTTGTGTGAGTCATAGGGTATTCTGTGGTCGGCTAAAGAAAGACAATAAGCGCACCTAAATCCACCTGTTATCAGACCCAGACTTCCCCGCCACTGGCTCTCAGGAGGACAGTCTGAGGAATAGGAATGCGGCCTTACCCTTTACCAGAGGCTTAACAGACAGACCCTCACTAAAAACACTGTTGACATTTTTTACCATTTTCTTCATACCACACAACTAGTTTGTACAGTCAGTTGTTAAGCTGCTCAATTTTCATTCAGCTGTGTGACTTCTTTATTTTCTTTGCAACGACTGAGATCTGGTTTTGAGAATAAGACGCATTTTCCTCCTAAAGAAATACTACGAAAGAATATACTCACAATTTTCAACCTTGTACTATGTGTTATGGGGTACTTTACAAGTTAAAGGGATGGGACAAGTACTCGCGAGACATAATTGCCACAAGACTGTGCACACATGCTAAAAATGATCCTGTGAGATTTTTTGCCAATTGTTTTTACGTTTGGATTGGATAAAAAAAAAAGTTAGGTACAGGTGAGTTAAATTTTTTGAGAACCTGTAGTTGCAAAAAGCACTGATACAATGACAGCAAAAATATTAAATAGAGTAAATCAAAAATGGTGAGGCTAAACTTAGGAACTGGACTACACTTATTATTTATGATAAAGAATATCAAAATCTTGTCTTATCTCATTCTTGTAGTTCCAGTCTTGTATCTCGTATCGTATTGTGGAAATTTTATTTTATTTTTGTAATCTGTATTGTGAACCAAGAAATTATGTGTTGCCTTTAACCACCTATTGACATTGTATAAACTTGCAGAACTCTGTGTTAACCATGTATTTTTATAAAAAAATTTGTCACTTATGTTTTATTGTTTTTTTCATAAAGTATTACTACCTTATTTCAAACAAGTAGAAGCAAAATATTATAATATTCAACAAAATTTAAAGGAAACAAGAAAAACATAAAATAAGATAAAATAGCAACCAGCCTTCAGATAACACTGCAGTCATGTGATGTCCAAAGAGTTTTGGAATGTTAACCATTTCTTTAAATTTTAGTTCTTTCAGTCTGAGAGCAAAAGTAATTTCCTCCATGACAAATATTTCCTGCAGTCGTGTATTTTTATTTGGAATCTTGAGTATAGTAACATGTAGAACGTGTCAAGTACTTTATATTAATGCTTAGTGATTTGGGAAAAATAGCAGATTTTATGACAAGATTTGTGAGTTATGTTTTAATATAGGATTCTGTTCAATGTCACATTGAACGCATCCAGAAGAATTGGCTGAAATATGAACTGGCAAACTAATACAAGAATCACTTTTCAGAAGATGTTTGTACCGATCTTAACTATAGGGTTAGCTGTTTTTATGCAGAATAAAACATAATATTTAGTTGTTTGTGGAGGAAATTGTGGTCCTTAAAAATGTCAGGGTTTGCGATTGGCAAATTGCGATTAATCTTGCAGCTCTATTGTATTTGGCTAAGTTTTGTAGATCTTACACAGCTAGTGCTAAAACCGCTTTTGTTTAACTGTTGTTTTGCCTGTCATGGCCTGGCTGCATGAGTGAGTGCCTCAGACTGCAGACTCGTGGTGGTGTCTTTAATTATGCAGGCCGGCCCGGTCCGTCTCTCCGCTCCACAGATTCACATGGACAATTTAACCACTAACCTTCTGAAATGAGCTGCTCCTGAATGTCTCAGGCTCTGGTTTCACAGTTTGAGCCCAATGGTCGAGAGGAGAGGTTATGATAAGTGAAAGAAGATGACTTTCAATGTTGTAGCCTCCTAACCTTGGTGAAATAAACATGCAATAATTAACATTTTCAAACTAATGTATTGTCATCTCAACCAGCTTGTGTACAGAGTTATTTGGGTTATTTGAAACCTTTAGAGTTAGCAAAAATACAATTATGAACATTTTAACTGGTTTTGCTCCAGGATATGTGGAGCAAAAAAATGAAAGTCCATATCACTCAGAACAGATTACGATTCACATTTTAAATAGCACATTAAAAATACATACGGTAGAAGCAATCATTTAAATCTTAACCTTAATATATTGCACATTCCTATTGTGTTTGGATTATAGTTTGTCATGAGTTTAATTCTGAATGCTCTTCCTGATACAATCATTTCATATTTGCATTGGACTGGTACCAAGTGTACGCTGCCTCTTGCATGTCTTTCTGATATTGTGCTAGCGTGCTATTACTCATTTTGATATGATTAACAATCTGGTGATAACATGGAGTGTTACTTGTTTTGTAGATAAAGTCAATCTCATCCAGTCCATCATGTTGCTGGAGCAGTGTTTTAGTGTTGATGCATCATTTCCTTGCTGCATACCTGCGGTCACTTGGGTTTCCTCAGTCTACAAACAACATAAAAGCCTGATCTGTTACCTGTGCCTCTGGGACAACGGCTGTTGATCACAGGAGGAGTGAGAAGCCTGAATCTGCCACTATTTACTGTAATTAAGCTGTCAGTGGATGTGATTTATAATGCATTGAGTAAGAGGTATTATCAAGACTCCGAGTAGGAAGAAAAACTGTGTCTCCAGCAGCCACAGGCTTTGTACTAACAATAGTCAAAGACAGACAGTAAATTTAAGTCAGTCTTCAAGGCTCAGTAGGAACTTTGCATTTATCATGGTTTAGGACTGGCATGAAGTGCATGTGACCTCTTATGGCGCAGTTTTACTGACATGCTTTTGTTTTACTCATATTATCTATGTTGTATGCATAGACATACTCATTTCATTTTTCTGTTGCAGTTGGTGCTGTTGTTTTGGTTTAAAGATGTCCTGATCCCGGGATGTCTCGTCCACCTCCAACTCCCATCTACACCCTGAGGGGCGCTGGTGGGCCCCTCAACACCCTCCACTTCCACTGCAGCCAGGCAACCACTCCTCTGCTATTTTCTGGGTGAGTCATTTTCTATGACATACATTTTAAGACAAAGATGCCATTTTGTTTTTTTTCTCTTTTTTTTAAAATTACAGTGCAGCCAAAATGGGGAAAGTTTTCTATTTATTTAGTCTAACCTTTTCCTTCTTTTTTATTATCTTGTTGTAACAAGGTTAGAGTGGGGTGAATCAAAGTTAATGATATGCTTTAAGACAGTAAGAGGGCACAAGAACCTAATAAATCAATGTGTGTTTTCTAGTTCGGGGAAGGGTGCTATCCACATGTGGAACTTGAACACGCGGCGGCCTGAAAAGGTCATTGAAGGACATTCTGGAAACTCTGTGATATGGCTCAACACCATTCAGTCAGGACAAAAGCTAATCAGGTGAACTAAATATGTATAAAGTATAAAGCTTTGATCAGCCTTGTTATAGCATTGGGATATATACAATTTATATAATGTTTTTATAGTCAAGGACGTGACATGCAGATCTCCCTATGGGATCTGGCTGAAGGCCGGACTGATGTTGTGGACTCCATTTGGACCGGCAGTGTGGGGTTTTGTCAAAGCTCGATGTTGGAGACAAGTCCTGGGAAGTGGCTGCTGGCTTTTCCAGGAGAACAAACTGAAGAGGTTAGATGTTATAATCTGCTGTACTGTTCAGTGATTTGCATTATATTTTAGTCCTACAGTTTGACTACAGTATATTTTTGCCATCTTTGTACAGTATCTGTGCTAGAAGAAAGTCTGCAGTAGGTGTGATGGCTCAGTGGGTGGTTGTGGTAATTGGTTAACATTCAACCTGTATGGACCTGATAAGACAAGCTACTATCTGTTGGCTCGATTGGGTTTGTGGGTTTTTGCCACAGCATTTTCTACTTATTAGACAGCCCACACCAGAATGTTCTAAAGCAATTAAACCAAATAATTGAATTTGTTGCTTCTGTTCTGTAAAATTGGACAAGAAACTACTCACAGTTAACATCGGGTTTCGGTGATACTGCATTTGTTCTTACAGGTTTAAAAAATGTACTACAATCTCAACAGAACCTGGGTTGCTGCCAGTGCTTTAACCTGCAGATAAAGTGTCTCATTTAAATATGCATCTCCAGAAATCACTCGGTGAGCTGCAGAGACTGCACTAGCACTGATAAATGATTCGCTGCAGGCTGGCTGCTATCAGTAAAGACTATATTTGGAACATGTCTACCCCATAATTTGGGACACAGATGAGTCAAGTTTATGAAATCAAAATGTCATTAAAGGGCCTATATTTTCTGATATGTTGTTTCCTCATCAGAAACATACCTGGATATGTGTTTTGTTTAATTGACACATGATTAACACACAAACCCTGCTAATTTAGGCTGAGATCTTCTCAAACAGAAAATACTCTGCTCCACCTTGCGATGTCATGTGGTAATACAGGCTCCACCGCGCTCCACTGTGTTTTAAAACGCAATACACCTCAAGATTCATGTGGATAATTTCAGCCCTGGGAGCACCAATCTCTGCTCTCTTCATTACACAAGGTGGAACAGAGCATTTTGAAGATTAATAAACCAGGATTTCTCAAATGTGTGAATGAAACAAAACACATTCTAGGAGTTTACAACATTCTAATATGGCTTACAGCTCAGCCAATTTTGCGTAATAGAGGACCTTTAAGTATTTTATCTCTGTTTGTTTACCAATTAAAAGTACCAGATACTTTGGATGCTACTCAGCCAGTTGCCCAACCTGCTTATATTGCCTCCAGATTCATATTACTTGGTCCACTGCTGAGAAACTATACTTAAAAGGCCCAAAGCGGTCACCCGATCCAGCTCAAACGTGCCTGTGCTAACCCGAGTCCAGCGGGCCAGGCATCAGGGCGCCCACCACCTCAATAATGCCATTGTCCTAAACAGACACAGACAGACATAAACACAGAGACACCCAGAAAAGATAGACTTAAACAACCTGCGCCCATTTTGTCATTTGGCCTCCCCGCCCTATTACACACAGACAGATGCTTATCATGTATTACCAAACAGAACACCCTCAGAAGAAACAATTCATAAAAATGCCTGCACAATGGATGATTTATTGCCAATTTTAAAGGTTAGGCAAATTTTCAAATGTGCACACACAAAAACCCAACTTCTCTCTCTCATTTTCAAGTGGTTTCACTGTTTACAGCTCACAGTAACATACTTGCCATGGTAGAAACATTAATTAATAGTGTGGGTTTTGTATTTACGGGCAGCGCGATGCCACACAAGAACTGCACATCACCGGAGGCGCTGAGAAGTCCTTAAAAGGCCCTCTTTGTCAGACTAGCGGAGGTAAACAAGGAGAGGACAGATGTGGCCTCGCGCTAAAATACAGATCACTACCTTAAAGGGATGTTTAATTTAAGCCTAATGAGAATAAATTTGTGCATCATCTCGGTGGAGGAAGTGACTGCGCTTTGGTTGGGATTCGGGCATTAGAAACACAGGTCCAGACTGTATCACGGGTCTCATTAGATTGTGTATTTTATCAGAATCAGTGCCAATGTGTGCAGGGAAATACTATCAACGTCACAGAATGAACTTTAATGGGATTTATTATAGACAACATGGCGGCTGCTTTGCGCTGATGGATCGCGTAGTGCTGCAGTTTGTAGCAGGCTCCCTGGTTCACAGAGGTCCCAAACCACAACGACAAACACTCGATGTAGCTTTTTTTGTTTAGGAAACGCAGACAAATCTTGACTTGGCAGAGACAATTTAGATATAATCTTTTGGTTTGTGTGTACAGAGCAATAAACAAAAATAAATATTCATGTAGTGTATATGTAGTCATGTTGGGAATTGCAGCCTAGCAACTATGAGTCTTAAAACACTCTGGACAATGGGTAGTTAAAGGTGCTCTATTTAACATTTTTCGTGGAAGGCTTGCTGTCTCCAGGAATGTTCCATAGTATGGCATTAAACTTAATTTACTACAAGAAGACAAGTAGGTGCAACCACAAAATCAAATTCATGGCAAGCCTGTAAGAATGTATGTGTTTTTAGGTGTTTTGGACACCTAAAATGTGATTGATTGATTGAAATGATTAACCCCTAAATATTCATACTTTTGCAGATCAAGATCATTGAGCTGCCCTGTAAGACTCCAATCAGCACTTTGGTACCAGATTCAAAGCTGGGCATGGTCATGTGCATCAAACTGTGGCAGGTATGTACCAAACTGAAAATACATTGACTTCACACAAATCTGATATAAACTGGAATCATAGCTTGTTGCCTGTATGGACTTGAATTTAATTACTTGGCTCCTCTACCATTATTTATAGAATCATACATTTTTATGACCTTACATTTCAAGTAGCACCGACCTTCCAAAGATACCTGCTTGATTTTGATAGACATGAAACACATAAAACAGCAATAAAAGAAAAAAATGCATATGTGATACGTGGCACTTGATTTATAGGCCCTAAGCGCGTCCCAGACCATTTTTTCCAAAGCGTTTCTTCTCAGCTGGCAGTGAGTCCCCACACTGTAATTAGAGCGTTTGGGAGGGCTGGGGGTTCACAGCCATATATCAGCCTGCAGCTCTACACCCAATCTGATCCCAGCAGGAGATTGTTTTCTGTTTTGTCAATTCTGTCAAGAGTTTTATTTTCTGACCATTAACAAGAGGTTGCATTATTTTTATTGGTAATTATTATTAACAATTTTAAGAGGCATGGAAAATCAGTTATGCAAAAAAGAGTAGAGTCTAATTATATACATGATTTTTGTGACCTTAATAAAAGGAAAATGAAGAGACACATTTTATGAACTCAAAGTCTATTTTCCCTTCCTTTTTTATTTTCTGCTATTAAAATAAATGGCATCATTTAATAAAGTACAACCGCTCTAAAAGTGTTGTACAAGTGATAGATAAGGTGTTTGTATTTAGCCCTGGCCTCCCTGATTTCAGTGTTACACCCACCTTTCATCATATGATTTATGAAGCCATGCTGTTGTAGCGTTGAGTGCCAGGAAACATAATGATCAATTATATCATTATAAATGATATAATATCTGAAATATAGCACAGGCAGATGTCTGACTTCAAAGCCGAAGGGCCTAGGTGAAGCTAAATCATTTCAGGCTGATCGCTTTAAAGATCAACTTGTGTTCATCTATTTCAGCGACAAGAAAGATCAGTACACTGGAAGTGCACTGGTTTTGGAGAATCAAACAGCAGGTCTTATTGTGGAGAATACTGGTTATGCACTCTGAGAGCCTGACTGGAGTTTTACACACATGCAGTTTGTCAGTCATAAAAAGGCTTATGATTTCTTACGAAGCCTAAAGTGCTGCCTGCTGTTTTCCTCTCCTCGCACTGCAGGAGGGCACATCTGACACAGCCATCATCTCGATCTGTCTCTGAAACGATCCAGGCGACAGAGCTCCTCACACTCTCATATCCTCACGGTCTTTCTCTTTGTGCTGCTGAGACATGCAGCGATTATCCCCCATTATTACCAGGACAGATGCTCAAACAGATTTATTGCTGGCCTTTAAGCCCTCTCGGCTGGAGTTTATGGAAAAGATTAAATGCAGTGTTAAACTGCTCGTTCTTCTCAGTCCAGCTTCCCATCAGCAGACTCTCTCAGCCCACAGTTAAACCTCTGCCTCATCTATAAGGTGCTCCTGAAAGTGCACAACAATATGGCGGGCCTGAAGCCAGAAAGTGTCTCCATATGTCCAGTACAGGCTGGGCCTGCAGCGGGACAGTGCTGATGTATGATGTGCAAGGCTTTTAATGTGAACAGAGGCTGGCGGGGAGAGGAAATGTTCCTATACAGATATCCATCAGTCTCAGCTCATCACCTACTGCCTCGTGGCCATGACATCATGGAGGACCAGGACAAAACACTGCCCCGATTGGTTCCTTATGTGATCGGGCAAGAGCTGGTCACGTCAACAAACAACTGTTGATTCTTTTTCCCACTCACAAGTGTGACAATCATTTGATGTGGTGTGATTCAAATGTTCTTAAAGACAGTGTTACCAATGTTGTCACTGTAATTAGCTGTGATAATTACATTTCATTACTTTGTTTAACTTAATTTGCACTGATGCTGCGTCACGATTGTGGTTTGCCTTAAGGTTGTTCTGGTCTGTGCCTTTTTATTTATTGTCTTGGTAACTTAGCAACAGGACCAGCAAAACTGTTGTTGTTATAATTAATACAATTTGATATCATTACAGTCATTGTTAGATGTATTTATGGCATAACTGTGCTCATTAGCCTTGAATTCCATCTTACACTGTATAGTACAGTACTCAAACCCCCCTCGACTCTCTTCCTTGTATTTGTCTTTCCGGCTGTTATGGTCCTGATGGATCTTGTCCTGAAGCTCCACTCCAGCAGAGAGCCTCTTGTACAAACGGCTGTGGAGGATATAATGAATAAGGTGTCTGCCCAGGGTTCCCTGACCTCTGGCCCATGACATCATCAATCACGGAGGTCCTATACTTAAGGGAAACTGGGCCTCCAACATGGCTGTGCTGCAGAGTCAAGCCACCGATTTTCACCGCTTTATTTTTATTTGTTTTCATAATCTGTCATTGTTCGTACTGGCCGATGTGTTTGGAAGAGATACACAAGCCTTGCTATAATTTGTTTAAAGTTGGAAGAAGAGAAATATAGCGTTAAGTGAGAAGGAGGAGGACTTGATTGATGAAAATATGACCCTTTCGCACATATGGAAAAAATTTCTTGCCCGTCTTCGCTTCTTGCTTGTATGGCACAGTGCTTTTTATGGGAGTCTGGTGGTACGCTCAGACTCTTCTTCAGTATATGCGCAGTATCACAGGTCAAGGGTACATTTGTTAACTCTGTAATAATTCATTTTTTATGTCACTGTGGAAGCGTGTTCTTTCATTCTGGCTTCACAGATGAACTGTAAAAGGTCTGGTGATGAAGAAAAATGTCCGCCATTCATATTCCCCTTATCCAGAACCTCTGCAGTGTCTCCCTCACCCCTTTCTTCTTTGCCTCCTGGGATCAAAAGATGTATGAAACCTCTCATTTTATCAGTTCACCTTTTGTCCCATGATGTCCAAATTCACAGCAGACAACCTTACCACTTACCGCAAAATACCTAGCTACTGGTATTTTGGGCAGGTTTCTGACTTTGCCAGGTGCATATTATTTTCCTTTAGTTTTTAGCTCTTTGCACTACTTATATTCATTGGGATGTTAGTCGGCCTGTACAATTGTTGATTGACCATCATCAATCTAAATAGAAGATGGAGGGAGATAATCTACACGGGGCTGCATGCAAGGCAAAATTCTATGTATATTTTTTCTTTTTAATTAGGTGGTTCTCTTGTGCAAATGGACTTATGTTTATCAAACTTTCTTGTACATACTTTGTGTCTTTATTGCAATGTTTTATACATCATGAATGTATTATAACTGATACAACACTGTAAAAACATGTGGACAGCGAGTGCTTCATCCTTGCATTTCGCATTGCCAACAGCGCAACCCAAAGCTGCGTAATATGAATGAGGAGCAAAGTGAGCAGTAGTGTAATGGAGTGTGTGGAAGATAGAGCAGCAGTCTGATGAATAGAGCCCACAGCTCTCTGTAAGTGTCAGCGCAGGCTTCCAGGAAGATAACCTCTGCTCCTCATCCCCTTCTTTGCTCCTCACTCCTTTCCTCTGCTGCTCACCTCTCTCCTCTGCTTACCTCTCTCTTCTGCTCCACTCCCCTCCACTCCCTTCTGCTTCTCCCTCCCCCCCCCGTCTCTGTTCCTCACCTCTCTCCTGCTCCTCACCACTTAACCCCCCCATCCCACCTCGAGGAACTCGTCTGCACTGTAACTGTAGTACAGAAGAGTATCTCTTCTGTGTTACAGTTGTTGTGAGTGGAGTTAAGAATACTGTCTGATGACTTGTTATTTAAATTTTTGTTAAAAAGCATTGTAGCTTTTAAATTTCTTCTAAGGTAAATTCTATTAACATTGAATTACCTCTGTAATCAATCCAACAGTGGATGATTTTGACCTTTAATTAAAGCAATTATCATTGAAATTTGTATGAAAATGAAAATTTGATTAGGATTAAATGTGCACTGTAAAAACCCTCCCCACATGGGACAAGAGTATTTCAGAACATCGATAAAGCTGACAAATGTCAATAAGGTTTGAGTACCTTTGACTTCTATAATCCTGAATTAAAATCTCTGAACTGTGTCTTCTTTAATTTTAGGGTGATTTGGGGACTGGTCCTTTCCTGCTGGCGGGTTACGAGGATGGATCCATGCTGCTGTGGGATGTAACCCAGAGGTCGAAGCTGAGCCAGGCCAAAGCCCACCCTGAGCCCATCATGTGTCTGACCTTTGACCCCACCCGCTTAAAGGGCATTTCAGGCTCCTCAGATGCCAAACTGTCCTCCTGGATAGTGGACAGCCAAAACAATATGCAGGTAAGAAGGTTAATTCAATAAAATAAACATAAATCTGTAATATTTTTCTCATCTCATATTGCAATGCAGACTCATATAATTTTATTTACTCATATGAATCTGTAACTGTATTGATCTGAGATCTGCTAAATAATGACTACATCACTATTACTTTGCCTGGCGAGTCCAGAATGGTATGGTATTTTTTATACAGATGGATATCAGTCTGACAAAAGACACCCACACATCAGTATTTGACAGGTGTGTGAATGACACAGGAGAGAGAGGGCACAGGAGCGGCTGCACAAACTCACCTCTGGTGGGGCTGCAGGAGCCATTTGCTGTTTTATCATGGACTACGATATCACAGATATTTATTGCCAAAAATACCTGGTTTTCATGGAAGATGCTATTTTGTGGCAAAGATCTCACTTGTGGATTATGATGCTCTTTATTTCGTCTGGTGTGCCTTGACAAACAATCCAATGACGCCATGACAAACAACCCAGTATCACCTGTCAAGCACCATGACAGGTGCTCCTCCAGCCCACTCACCCAACAATTTTGCATGATAGGCTTCAGCTCTGAAGGTGTCTTCTGATTGGCTCTAGTTACACTAAAGTCCAGATAAGTGTTCTATGCCATCTGGACTTGCCTACACTTGCATTCTCTCTAGCTCCCTCTTGTAAGTCCTTTAATCTTTTTTCCTCTCTTGCATCATTGTAGCAGCTAATACTTTTTTATGTCTTTCATCCAGTCCTCTTTTGAATTAGGTGGTTCTCTTATGCCCCTTCTTTGGTCCCTTCTTGCACCCTTTCCCTTGCATCTTTTCCATTTCATGTTTCAAAGCTAAAGTGCTATCCATATTTTTTCCAGTTGGGTGTTTCTTCTTGGTGAGATGTCCTTGCTGTCTTCTTTTTTGGTTCAAATCCTGGTTCTGTTGCCATGGGAGCTGTAACCCTCTTCATTTATACTCTTCAACATTCAGAAATGCCGATTCTGTTCAGTTGTCCTCAGAAGTTAGAATTTGAAATTAAAGTTTCTGTAATCCACGTTTGCTGCATTCATGTGGTCCTCGGGAATGAGATGTTGGGGTTCTGACTTGCATTTATCTGCTTTGGCCTTGGAAAGTCTGGATTTTAATATCAGCTATAATAAATCACAACTCATTAGCTCATCAGTCTGCTCATTAACAGTGTTTTATCAGAGCTAAAAGATTTGTTGCTGTTAGCTTTCTCAAAAGCAAAACGTTATTTGTTTACTTTAGCTAGTTAGTTAATTGAACTGTAGTTTAACAACATCACCGACAGCTGTTTTATGCATCTCGGATGTTTACCCTAATACGTTCAGTATGCCTTGGACAGGGTCGTTTGATCTGTGATAATTGTGAGTAACTAATAACAGCTTGCTACAAAATGTATTATTACTTTATTTAGCCTTTAGGTCAGATTTTTATTTTATTTTTTTTATTGTAAAAGTATGTTTAAAAGACAAGTCTTAAGAGATGGCCTAGTTAGTGCAAAGTTTTCATAATTGTGCTATACAGTATGAAATCATTACAGTATTTTTATTTTTAAATCTTTAAAGTAAACATTTACATTTTGTCTTGTGTCCCTAAATTCTTTAACTTTTAAACAATACAAACCTTGAGCAAAACTAGCAAAAGCTCCTAAGTGCAAAAAGGGGGTTAGTATTGCCTTCTCCAAGTCCTGGAAATCACAAGGGCCCAAAGAGGAAGAGGCTCCACAGGGCCCTGGTGCCATAAATCAGCTGCTGGTTACACAGCGATGGCAGGACCAGAGGCCAAGGGCCGAGCCGGGGCTGTCACTCCTGCCACCCACATGCACTTGGACTCATAACAATTTCAAATACCATCGGGATCAGGAATATGACAGTTGTAACAAAAGATTTACTATTGCTGATTTAAATACAGTATTAGATAGAGTTGTATCCAGAATGCAAAAATCTGTGTTTTCATGCTACGCTACTGCTTATTTTCATTTTTAGTAAGCTTAGTTTAAAATGTAATAATTTGATTTGCTATTGACACAATATAGACAGTATATCTGCTCTCCATAATTTCGGAAAAATATTGCTATATCAATAATCAACATGGGTATCCACCAGCATGTTTGCCTCATATCTTGCAGCCCTAAATGTTAGACATAAATGTAGTGTATCAATGGAAAACACTGACAGAGACTAACTATACAGAAGTCTTTCCAGACCAAAAGGGATCACAACAGCTTTGTCCCATGAACCACTACACAGACTTGACGCCTCATTTGGAGCTGTATTTCTCTTGATTTCAGGAGCAAAAGGGAATGCTCCTATTTTTCCTCCAACCTCCATGAATCAGAGTCGGGGCGATACACAACACTCCAGCAGGGGGAATGGGGTATTATTCTTTCCAGAGCTTTTTTTCACAGATGGACGCTCGAATTAGAAATATTTGCAGAGGCTAGATTAATTCACCCTGAAAATGTGACTAGAAAAACACCAGGAAGAATTCGATTCAATATACGAAAAACAGGAGAAGAGTGGTTATTTGGTTTATTTGCTCATGCAACAAAATATTGATTCAGCATATAATCCAGGATGAGGATGACAGGGAAAAAGCACACGAAGAGGGAAAGGATCCAACGGGGGCTTTTAAATTATCCTCAAGTGCAGCTCAGTGTGACGTCCAGACAGTTCCCCTCAGTACTTCCCACAAAAGTATTTCTGTTGCCGTGGTGGTGGGTTTGGGGGTCTGCTGGGTGGCGGACTCGGACGACCCGCGAGAGGTAATAAAAATATCAAAACCTCCGAGGCCCCTTTAACCAAACAGAAAACACATCTGCAGTTATAGGAACAGTAGTTCACAGTAGGAGGCTGCAATAAAGCCAGTCGAGTCCATAAGCCCCACACATTATCCCACTTCCACAAATTACCCCTGTGATACCATTTAATGCACTGTTATTGGCCACTTATAGGGCTACATGTTGCTTTTTGGAAACTGATTTTGACACAACACAGCGCACGTATGATTTAGTGCGGCTGAAAGGCAGTGAAGTGAGTGTATCAGGGAAAGATAAAAAAGTGATAGCCTCCGGTTTTGAGCTTTAATGTATTACACATGTGCTTTATCTGGAGTTTGACCCAGCTGACCTGATAACGCTTTCATAGCTTCATCCGCCATCTTTTATTTTTTTATTTATGAAACTTTGCAAGTAGTTATGACACACAATACAAAAATATACACACATTCATTTTCCAATACGCAATTATCGTCCATGCCTGTTATCACCCGGCACTTCCTATGTTTGTTTAGAGTTAGCATTTGTTCAAATACTCACACATTCACACATTCTAGCTGTTTGTTATAGTTGTATCCATCATATAGACATTTATTATTATTTCTATGTACAAATATATATTTAAAAAAATTATATAGTACTTAAGTTATACAGCCTTTTGTGTAGATAACGTGAGAAAATTAGTGGTAACAATAATATATATATATGAATTTCAAGATAAAGATTGTTTTTAGTGCTCTCCCTTTCATTCCAAGCCAGAAACCCTTTAAATGCAAAACTGGTACTTTTTTCACAAATATATTTATATTTTTTTTGAAACTTGAAATGATTATACAGAAAAATGAATTATTATTATTATTATTATTATTATTATTATTATTATTATTACACATTTTATTTACTCAAGGTCGCCTTAGAACAATAAACAAAAGCAAAATAACAAAAAAAAAAACTTGGTACGTTTTAAGTTACGTTTTTTTGTATCTTTTCTCATACTAGTGTGCATTTTTGTGAGTGTGTAAAAGGTGAAGCTAAGAGGCATTGGGTGTGGTAGGTGCATGCTTTAAAGCCAGATGGACATGTGTGTTTAAGCGGCCACTCAAATGTATTGACAGGTGCTGTACAGGGTTCCTCCAGGACAAAGAACACAGAGGTCACGGACTGAGCAAAGGGAAAGCAGGTATAGAAAGAGAACGATTAGCAGTGCGCGTCAAGTATGCCTGTTTAAAACCGTTGACAGTTCACTACAGGTGGGACGCATGGGTCTTGTGTTCACTTCGATGTAAAAATATCTTCACTGTCTCTCTCCACTTGCCACCTGCGCCTTCTTTCTTAAAACACCACATTTAGCCAGTCCAACTCCGACCTCAGCTTTACTGTTGGTCCAGATATGTCTGTACTCACATATGGTTTTATGCTTAGTTCTTCCAAGTCCAGCACGCTGAATAGGGATTTTGTGATCTTTTCTTGCATTGGATACATTTCTAGTACATATGGGCTATAGCTAGTGTTATTAGTTACCATCTTAATAATTCTGTTGAGATGAGTGATTACAACAAATGGTAAACATAATTAATTAATTCTGACTAGTTGCAAAATAAAACACAATTGAATCTCTAGTCCAAGTTGAATGCTTTCGCTTATTTTGCAATTAACAAATCATAAATGTTGCAATTACAAAAAACTGACCTATTATGCAAAATCGATGTTTCAGAGCTGTTAACCATGTTTTAACTAATTTCCCCTCTAAGTTGTATTGGGAGTGATTTATGCATTTTTGAGTCATCTTTAATCACCTATTTTAAAGACGATCAATCCCCCATTTTCACCCTCACAACATATGGCCACTGCTCTGTACTTACTTCGTTCTACAGTTTTATTTTCTTAATCAGTGATAGACATAAGATTTTGCAATTCTGCTTAGTCATTTTGATACAAAATGAAAAAAAAAAAAATCTGCTTTTCGCTAGAGTAGCTATTCATTGGACTTGCCGACTTTTTGTTATGATTCTGTTCATTGTCTTGCAGTTTTCTAACACAGAAGTGAGCGAACTTGTTTCTTTTATTTCTCATTTTAGATGAATATTGTGATTTACAGTATGTAAATTATATCACAGTGATCCACGGGTGTCACAGAGTATTGCTATGTAGCAGGCTCTACACAATATGTATATAATAAGTTAATTTATTATCCTTTGTCATAGATAAATATTCCTGGGTGTTTAACCTGCTAGTTTCAATTGGTGTAATCATGAAAAGCTTATGATTGTTGCATTAGTTTAGTTGTTCAAATGTTGCTCTTTTTTTAGTTGTTAGTTGTCATGTAAATAAAAACATAAATCCACTGCAGAAAGAACAAATTAATAACAAATGAATATATATTTTTTTCATTTTTAGTTAGTTCTCCACATCTTTACTGCGTAATCTTCTCACAGTGCTTTCTCAGCTCACCTGTTTGACACATCTATCTCCTGTCAGCCCGGGCCAGCTCTGACAGCCCAGGTGACAAAAGGCTGTAATCTCCACAGCCCTCAGTGTGTTTCAGGGACGAGGCGTGTCAAAAATACCTCCGCCAGCCTCGAGTGAGTGAGCGATGAGTGGACGTTTCACTAACTCAATGTGAATGGTAAAATAGTGCCAAGACGTGCTGTAAGTAAGGACATGGAGAAAAGTGGAGCAACACTTGAGTGAATGTGCCTGGTGTCAGTGAAATGCAACAGAAAAGGATCTTGAAGTGAAGTTTTTTGTTGGACGTTTCGGTCCAGATGTCTCACAGAGCTGGTGTCCTCCTGGCAGCTAAGAAAACGGGCATTTTGACAGCAGATGTTGTGTGTAGCTGCATTCTGTAACACGGGCCTCAAAAGTAATGTTCAAAGACAAAAATGATCGATGGTGCACAAAGATGGATTCTGTCTAATATGAGATAGTAGTGTAGAGAAGGAGTAGGAAGAGAAATGGAGTGTCAAACAATGCTAGCCAAGAGCAGTTCGGTTAAAGCTAATGGATTTCATTACAGACCCAAACCTGGTTAATGGCGCTGCTTCCCGGTAGTACTGCTACAGCGGTGTGGCGCACTAACAAAAACAACAGCATGATGATGGAGAACGGGGAATTAAAATTATATTGAAAAAGTCCATTAAGAGGGTTTAAAAGCTATGTTTTACTGAAGTCTGTGATTTTTGTGTGATGATTGGTCATGCAACAATACTTATTATACTGACACTGGTATAGCTTTGTTTGCAGTTGCAGTTGCAGTTGTATAATTGCGGTACCTGGTCTTCTCTTGGTTGAAACTAATGCCTCAAATACCTGGTTGTAGATCTAGTTGAGCACCAACATTGATCTGGTTACAATGTTCTTTTCAGTGTATAGTATTTTAAACAGTATTTGTTGATCATGTCCCATTTTGTCCCTGTTTATAAATGTATAAAAGTTCAGGAGGGGGTAACTGCTAACACATAACATATTTGGATCACCATGTTACTTTTTATTGTTATGAAAATGCTATATTTGCCAAAACCAATGTTTTAATATGTATAAGTTTCACTTGTTTTTGAAGCTTTGAGTCTCCCCTAAGTTATCTTTCTACATTAAGTCGTTCCCCCTTCAGAGTGCTATTACAATCATGTCTGCGTGAATCCTGCTAATGAAACTACTACACATTGCATCATGTTTGTAAACTTGCTGTGTATATTTTTGTATCATGTTTTTGTATATTTACATAGAATTCTCCTGTGGGAGCATAGATGACGTAAGATTGTGGGCTGAGCATTGTGCAAAATCTTATATCTCTCTGTAAGTAGGGTTCAATTAGGGCCCAGAAGAGATCACTAAAATACTCAAAAATGCATGGATGACAACTTAAACCTCTTCAGGCATGTTTTTGATGAGGGAACAATGGTAAAAAGCTCTTTAATCAAATCTGCATTTTTTAGGTTGTCCTCCATTGTCATTTGAATATTGTTAAATATGTAGTTTATCAATTAAACACTTTTCATTATAGACTGTTGTAGAAAGTGAAGTTTGGTTCCTGCTCAACTACCTGCAAAATCATTAGCCATTTTCTGCCCACAATTGACCCTTTAATGAAACAAATGCCTTTTCCTGACACAAACTATGGGAAGCAAAACAAACAAAAACAGACACTTAAACCCATCATTATCAGCAGCCTAATGCAAAGCAGATGGTCCAGGAGTCGGGGCATACCAACTTCTTGAGGTAATAACAACCCTCCAAACAATCGGTCTCCCAAAGCTTTCCCTGTATCAATGTGGTTTACATTTTACAAAGCCATTGTGCCATTCATGATTTTGTTATTTATTGGTCCAATATTACTCAAAATGTGAGCTTTCAGCCATGTTAGAATGTTGTTACCTCCTCAAAAACATTCCCAAAGTTCTGTTTTGTTTCATTCACACGTGTTTGAGTAATCCTTTATTATTAGCCTGTCTACATCTCCAAAGCTGAAAATGCTCTGTTCCACCTTATGATGTCATGAGCTCATAGTTTTTGTCAAATTAACTGCTCCCTTTTACAGTTTGTTCAGTAGAGATGGTCGATTCCAGTGCTGAAATCATCCAGCTGATTCTAATGAAAGTGTCTGGAGTTTAAAAACTCAGTGGAGCACATCACAAGGTGGTGTGAAGTGTTTTCTGTTTGAGAGAAAAACCGAAATATGCAAGTGTATGTGTGTATTGAACATATGTGAATTAAACAAAACACTACTCCAAGTGTATTTCTGATGAGGAAACAACATTATAACATAGATCAGAAAATAGCGTAATGTAGCCCCTTTAACTGTAAATAGTCTTATACCATATTCTCTGCTTTTAAACTTTTTGCCCCCCTTTGATCAATGGCATTCCTCTGTGTTTTCTCTCTTGCCTACATTCCACTTCATCCACTTGGGCCGGGAGTACCTGGCTTATGTCTTCCACATGCAGCTCGCGGATGTTTTTGGTGAACAACGGGAGCATGCAGATAAATTCTTCAACGTCTCCTCCCATCCACAGTCATTAGTCTCCCTATTCCCAATTTTTACGCTGTCCGGTTTGATTTTGCCTCCTCTATTCCAGATGCCTGTTTTATCTACGGTGTGTGAGGCTGAAATCCATCGCTCGCAAGGAAGAGCACGTTCTCCCTGCCGGAATGCCCGTAACAGCGAGTCCTTAAGATAGTAATCATAGCACTATTCATTATAATATGTCAAAATGTTGCCCCTTTAGGGAGATGGATACAGTACTTTAGGATGCAGTAGATCACTAGGAGTACGTGTGGCTAATCCCTAACAGGCAGGCCCTACACTAGTGGATTTATTGGGTCTCTTCTCTCGCTGACCAAAGCTTTCAGTGCAAATGTAATTCACCGGAGACGCCTGGAACAACAGCCTCGGCAAACAAGGATTTCTTGCCGCTTTGAAAGTGGTGATGAAGGTGCAACCCAAGACTAGGGCTGAAGGTTGTGTGGAAAATATTTAGTTATGATTTTTCTGACAAGCATAGCGATTGCCATTAAATTTGCAATGTATGTTTTAATAATAGGATTCTGTTCAAAGTTTTAATGCATCAAAAAATGGACAAAATTCTGTACTATGAACTGACAAACAAATAAATCAAGTTTATTATTATAATACAAGTAATCACATTTCAGAAAATGTTTGTACAGATCTGAACTAGAAGGTTAGCAGTTTGTATGCAGAATAAGATTGGCCATTTTGTGATTTAAAAATTGCAGCCTTTGCAGTTTGCTAATTCCAACATCAATTTGATTTTGATTAATCTACCCAAGCCCTACCCACGGAACTCATTAAGCATCTAAAAAGAAAAAAGACCTCTCGAAATATGAAAGGTGCAATATGTAACTTTTCAGGTGCAGGCTACATCCATGATTATGTTATTGCTTTGCCTGCCCTGGAAACTTCCAAAGTATGGCATTAAACATATCTTTCTGGCATTAATTCAATTAGTTTTTATATTACTATATTCTTGATTCTGATTCTTACTGTGAGCAGGGTCACCTCTCCGCAAATCCTGTAACTTGGCCTGGTCACGTCACCTGCTTGTCTCCATGCACGTAGATAGCACTATGGAACATTCCAGACAAAGCAATAACATCTCCACAGAAACAAGTAAGCTTAAAGTATCTTTGTTCATACCCTTGGGTAAATGTGGCATGCAGTGATTAAAGAGGCGCACTCTCCAGCTGAAAAGTTACATACTGCACCTTTAACATAGTGGGACGAGGAGAGATTTGCTGCAGCCTCGTGCCATAATAATGTTTTATGGCTGATGATTGAGTCCCAGGAGTTTTGGGCCAGTTTCAACAGACATGCAGCTAAGCACTCGAACCTCAGTCACCAGATCAGCTGATAGTCTCCCCCCGACTCTATTTGTCTTGGCCAAACTGTTTTTAGATGGCAGTGATGAATTTGCTCCCTGACCTAGTTCGTTTCTCTGATTATTTTTGTCTGCTATTCACGCCTTGGGTTTTAGATTTTCGGATTAATCACGATACTGAGAAAAAATATTTGCTTCTTACTGTTGTTTTGGGCTGTTTGTATTTGCGGAACTTAGCAACAAGTTGTTTAGAGTAACTTTTTCAAGTGTTGTTTTATCAGACCCGATTTTATACTTCTAAATTTGTCAATTTATGGTGTGGCGTTTTATTTAATTGACTGGAACGCAGGAGTATAAACATGGCTAGTGTAAAGGAATGCTCTTTAATCTTGTTTTTCTTTTGGCTACTCTTCTATGACTGTGAGTGGCAAACACTTTAATTAATTTATTTTTTTAATTAGAAGTAGACAGACTAATAATAAAGGATTACTCAAAGGTGTGAATGAAACTAAACAACTCTGAGAATGTTTTTGAGGAGGTAACAACATTTTAACATGGCTGGAAGCTCACAAGAGTCAATTTTCTGTGTTTGTAGCCTTGAAATATCAGAATCGGAATAATTTGAATGACTAGATTTCATCTACTTATCCTTATTCTTACAATCTACAAATACAATCTGAGTTAACATTTTGACTACTCTACCATAATAAGATAATGTTAATAGACAAGACATAATTGATTTTATCCTTGTTTAACTACAGTTAGTATGTTATTCCTCTCCTGACATAACTGAAGAAAAGAAATATTTTGGTTGTACCAGCAGTGACCCCTCTCAGCCTGACACTCTTCTCGTGGTTTTGCAGCTTCAGGACTCAGTGACGCTGGTTAACCCTGGAGTGTCCCAGATGTGCCTCCGTGACGACGGTAAGCTCCTGGCGTCCGCGGGCTGGGACCATCGCGTGCGGCTGTTTGGCTGGAAGAGGCTAAAACCACTGGCCGTGCTACAGTACCACACGGACATGGTGCTAAGTGTGGCCTTCTCCAACCACCAAGACCCAAGACAAAGACTGTTGGCTGCAGGATCCAAAGACCAGCGCATCAGCCTGTGGTCTATATACAACGAGGGATCTGAAGCTCAATGATTTTTCCTTCCTTTTACAGACTACTTTAGCAAATCAACAGATTGTAATGTTGACACCAATCAGACCTGAACATATTAAGAAGGTCATATTTTTTATGTATTTACTGTTTACATAAAACACTTTTACAGCTTATATCATTACACCACTGCAATTCTGTTTTGTATTTCTTAAATCAGTGGTTAGGGACAAATTTGCTAATTCATGTTATAAAAATAAATGACTCCAATAAGCCTAAGCAATTAAAAGCTTAAACCCCTAGTACTGTTTAAGTTGAAATTTATTTGACAATATCAGGAACGATGTATGAACTGCAATGTAGAAAAGGATACCTCGTAACTGGAAAAGCCTTATGCATTTGCTCTTTAATTAGATGAACATAAAGGTCACGTAATAGTTGTCTCAGAAGTTAACACGCACTATAATATCAATATAACGACTGGTCTATAAGTTGCTGCGTGTTAATGTTAATACCAAAAGTCTTGTCTCCACGGGCCAGGTGTTTGAACAGTACATGTTATGCTCTATAGAGGCTTTATCTCCTGGGATGAGTCCAAGTTAAGAAGCGTTTCATGCTGTACAGGAAGCGGATGAGAAATCAAAGAGTCTCTGCACCATCATGGCCACGTACCATTAGTGAGCAGTGGAAAGACGAGGCAGGACAGTGAACAGACTACTGTGCCTTTAGGGATGCATTTAAAATAATTACAATTTTCAAAAGCTCAGTTCCATGCAAAGAGAAATTGTTCATTTATTAATAGTTTTCAGTCACATTATGTTTTTGTTTTTTTGCAGACACAGTAACTACAGTGACACACATCATGCATGAGGATATCCTTTACATTAGCAATAAAATTGATTTTTAGCCCCTGATTAGGCATCTTTTTTCCATTGCCAATGGTAAGGCTTTATATTTCAAGATAAAAAGTGAGTAAATTAAAGACTACAGTTAAGGCTAGCTTGTGACATAGGGACTTGTTAACAACACAAATCCACAAATCCACAAAAAGAATAAAAAGCTCCATGAAGCCCTGGCACACCCAACTAAGATAGTAATTATAATACCAAAATCAAATTGATTTTTGTATTGTATTCTTAGTATTTTTAGGGTGGAATAAAATAGATGTACTATTATATTACAAGAATAAAGAGTACAAGCAAAAAATACTGACAAATTGACAACTGACGATCCTATACGCTCATCATAAAAAGTAGAAATAAAATAAGTTGTGTAGCCTAGAAGAAAAACATATATATTTTTTATCATTCAAATACCTCTTTTTAGTTTCCCAGTTGGTTCACGCTCCATCCATTTTGTCGTGTGACCTCTCTGATGACATCTTGCATTTATAATCACTTCCGAACTCTTGTGTTAGCTTTGCACAAACAGTGGTAGCGTGAGGCAGCTTCCGTCCATTCTCTGATAAATCAAATGGGCAGGGGTTTGTTGGTGCGTATGTGAGTTCAATGGGACAGGCAGCACTATGGCTTTACTAGTGACTGCTGGTGAGGAGATGGTAAGCCTAATAAATCACTTCATAATGGATCATTTAGGAAGTCAATAAATAGACAAGGAGACCCCCCATTACAAATCAGAGGGCACAATGGACGCTGGGCGTCACTTAGCGCCTAATGCGTGTCCTCCTTGGCCTTGGGTTCAAAGGTCAAGTTAGTTTTAGGCCAGGTCGTAATCCAACAGTGGGCTCTTTACTCTGTGGAGATGTGTGTTACAAGTATGTGATGATTTTTCCAATGTATTACAAGAACAAAGATTAAGAGCGGTATAGCGCTTCACTGGGTGATAAAAATATAAAGTTGCAGTACAAGAAAAAATTGAGGTTGTGAGAGACACAAATATTTTTTGACAATATGGCTTTATGTAAAACTTTATCTTATCAGATATTTTCCCACAATTCACTAAATAACAAAATACTCTAACAGAACAATATGAGAAAACATTTTACACATCATTTCATGCAATAATAAGTCATGCGAATCTTTCTACTTTACAGTGATGATGTGTTATAATTTTCCATGTACAACATCTGTTAACAATATGATCTAAATAAGAGATATTGTAACAAACCTGCTCAAGTCTGAACGTGGAGTGGCTTGTGTGTGATTCTTATCCTTATAGGTACAAGAATATAGCCCCAATAATGGCCCTGTCACAGCAGATGTTCCAGATGCAGATGAGTGTCAAACGATGCTTTGAGCCGCATTCTAATCCATCCTCTGCCTCCTCATTCTTCAATAGCAGTCCTTTGGCATGGAGCGGGACATCTGGGCATATTCACAGCTACACAGAGTCCAAGGCAAGCAGGTTGTTCTCTTTTCCTTTGGGCAAAATGAATGATAGATCCAAAGATTATGGTTTGAAATTGGCTAAGCCTGCTGAAAGCATGTCTGTAACTACTTAGGTGCATGCTAAAAAATTGATTAAGGAAAGAATGCATAAATATAATCCATAACACCGATTTAAACAAAGCAGAGGTGCAATGCAGTAGGAATCCTCCCGTTGGCGCCATTTCACACACATGAAACGTGAGCACAAGTTATTCAATATACAGTTATTGCTTACTGTTGAATAAAAATAATAAATTATCTTGTCTCATCTTGCTTCTAAAGAAAAAGTGTTCCAAAACGATGTCTGCTCTTGTGTGCTTTTTTTTTTGTAAAATCAAATCAAAAAGATAATATTTATCGGTTAGCCTCTACTACATGTGATATTTATAGTCCTGAAATATGATTTACCATGAAAACACCAGAGGGACAAACTTGAAGGCCTCAGCTCTGGATGTATCCTTCCGCTTGTGGCGGAACCACGGCACCTGCTGACCGGCGTCGCTTCTCTCCGGGCGGCCCGCGCTTTTCCACATGGCCTCTTCCTGACTGCATGACCTGGCAGGTTGGTTTGGAGATACCGTTTGCAGTAATCACGTGCATGCACACTTTTATGATGTACACAGGATTTACGCGTGTGTAAAATTAATTTGCTTCTTTATTTTACGATGCACACAAACATAGCTAACTTACGCACGGATTATGTCTAATTTTGTCGCTTGCTTCAAGTGCAGCTGTACACGATTGTATCAAACTCAGCCAATATACAATAATCACGAGCAAAACAAAATACTTAAGTTCCTGATCTAATCTTAAAAGAGTGGAAAGATTATTTAACCTTTGGCACTTTTACAAGCCATTTAACAGCCAGAGGTCAGCCGCCCCAGGCATCCTTTTCCCCGCTGTCCGCTCACAGGCAGCTGGCTTCAAGGAGGAAAAAAATACATGATTAAAACGAACAGTTAGGTTACGTTTCCTTTTGTATCGTGACAGCCACAAATCCCAAAGCAGTGTTTCTTCCAAACGAGATTAACCTTGACAACAAAGCCTTTCCCATACATGACTTCAAATGGATAATGGAAACGACAACGCCAACAGGAGGGGTACACTCCTAAAATATCAGGGAACTGTCCCATTAAAAATGAACAATGATATCCTTTTGAGTGAGAGGAAATGTACTTTTCCAGTGTCTGCGGCTTGACATAAGACCTTATTTATGAGGTTTACGAGAGATAGGCCTAACTGCATAGGCCTGCAACTGTGAAAAAATACTTTTTCCATGTAGCTTAGGAAAGTATAAAACGGGGACAAATGCATGCTCTTGGATATGTATATTTTGTATTATGTATGTATTTATGTATTTTATTTATTGTCTGCATCTTCCACCAAATTCATTAAAGCCTTTGGTTTTAAAACTGGATGTTTCCCCAGTAGGCCTACTACCTACCTATAATTGTCAGTACAAATTTCAAACGTTTTACTTAAACCTGCTACAATCTTATTTCTGATTATTTTCATCTTCTTCCAACGAATGCCTTTTTACTTTCAATTGCGCTTTTATAAAGCCAGTTTTTTTCTGTACAAAAGTGGAAGTGTGGTCATTGAGTACATGTTGTTTTTCACTCTGAATCCAGGTGCAGATGTGAACATTGGAAGTGCTGAACATAATGCAGCTCCCTGATGTTTGGACAGCTCTCTCTGACTGTAGCAGTGGTGGATACCTCGACCCATTCAAAAGCCAATCCGGTCGGTGTGGCCTGAACAATGCTATCAGTGAGGTAAATACTTTCACTCTGTGCCTCGAGCACTGACACTGCACACACAGGCCTTTTGAATGGAAGATTGGCACATATTTTTATGAATTACAAGAATTTAATGTTTATTTTACACTTTACAGAACAGTCAACTGCTTCATTTTTATTTACTTTGAATTGCTGCAAGTCAGTGCCATAGTACAAGCTTCTCAGAGCCTCTCCGGATGTTCCAAAATCAATCTTTTTTACACCAAACAAAAACATCCAACATGAGTTACCTCTCTGATGAGCTCAGCATGCAAACATCTTGTCTATGCAAAAGGCTGACAGACTATATAACATAATATGGCTTTTTTGAAAGCATTAAAAACAAGGCAAAAAAAAAAAATCACAAAGTGCATCAAACACAAAAACAACTTTTCCAGTCCGTGATCAAAAGTTGGGCATGAAGATTCCTCCTGGCTTCTTCACTGTCAACACTGCTCCTGTTTGGGCCCGATGTGGGGTAGGCCTATAGGTCAATGTGGACCTTTTGTATTGGCTCAGAGCAGGTGCCCAAGCTCCCTGCAACGGTGCGTTTGTTTAAATAAATACCACAGTTTTTAAGTCTGTGAATGCACCACTCAGTTTGCCGTGGACTCAATAGACAGGATTGTTTTGCCTTCATCCCGCAGTGCTCAGCAGTCATTATCTCGGCCCATAGTCGTAGTTCGCTGGCCCGCTAGTGGCAGAGTACATGTTAGCTGTGGCGGGGTTCATGTGATGGTGGTAGGTTGTATGCCGAATACTGGGTAAGGGGTAGGGGCTTGGCCTGGTTTTAGCACCCAAGTAGTGTTCGTATGTGGTGGGGTATTTGTACGGGTGGTGATGGAGGGTGTCCGGGGGAAGAGTGGCTCCGGGGTGGGGTTCAGGGCGCAGGTCGTGGGGTGGGCTGGGACGTCCTGTGGTGAGGGGGACAGCGTGGAGACCTCCAGGGACAGGTAAGGCGGGGCTAAGAACACGGGACATGAGCTGGTGAGCGGGGTCGCCATGGATAGGGGTGCCACTGGGGTCCCGATCGTACTCTCTCCGGCTGTCCTCTGAAAGAAAAGACGTGTTAGTTACAAAATAAACTTAATGGACCAATAAAGACGAGTCATACATTTTAATTTGATGAACACATTACAGTTAGTGAATCTCATTTTCAATATGTACACTTGTATAATTTACATATTTATAGTTTAAAATGTAAATATTTTCGTGGAATTATCTTATTTGGACCACAGGAGCAATAGTGGCAGCTTGTCTGTGCTAATATGGATCTGATCATTAAGCATAAACATTAAAATGCAGGACATAGCTTTGTTACATATTGTACCTGCAGTCAAAAAAATAAAGGAAAGCAAAATATTATTACAAAAACAATATATTTTTACAAACCACTGTTTGCAAGAAATATAAATTTCCAATTCAATAAATTCTATATTGAATGTTTTTTTTGTTTTTTTTAAATATTGTAGACTAGTAGATGTTTTTACGGTATATATGACAGTAAATATATAACTGTAGAAAACCTACAGAAAATCTACACGACCTTTCTTGCTTTAGCATTCTGTGTACAATATATATTTTTTAAGTTTTCTGTAAACTTAATGACCCTTTGTAATGGGGAAAAAACTTTGTGACTTTGTCACACTTTGTAGCTGATATGTCAGTAGTTGATGAAAATTTTTAAACGTCATTTTTTGGACAATGTTGATCTATGCATTTAAAATCTGAGTGACACTGCTACAAAGTGAAGAAAGGCCTATTATAGGTAGTCATTGTGAATGTTTCATGTGTACACGCTCTGAAATGTGACTATAGCGTGTTTCTGTATACAGACCTTTCTCTGCGCCGTTCTGCTGAGGGGGAGATGACATGGGGTTTCTGGTTCTGGCGAAGGCACTCATGATTGGCAGTGAGCCGGGCCGGTGATTCCTGGGCCTGCAACAGGGGAACGGATACAGTTACATACGACCATTTAATGCACGCCAAGGGTACATTTTCTTTATTATATTTTAAAATGATGGATGCATAGTTTAAGCGTTTACACCATTACATTGTAAGGAACATTTCTGCAGTGGCAGGGCACAATTTACTATGCTGGGCTGTTAATGTAAACTTAGACAGACTGTTTAAAATAATCAGAATCTTGCTGATAATGGAAATAATAATCCATGAGGCAAGTTAAATTCATTTGGCAAGAGAAGGGTGGGGTTTTGGACTTGACTAATTTGTCAGTGACAGAATGTTGCACTTGAGTGAATTTTTAACAATAGATTGTGATTACTAAATATTATCGTGTTCTAATGGGGAAAGTGCAACTGGCAAAAACAACTGCAATGCCAATGTGTGGGGCAGATGAGCTGGGGGTAGGTTACATTGCATTTGTTTCATTATTATTTTTTTTCTATTTTTACACATTCTTGCTGAAACAGTATCCTCATGGCATAACACACAATTGACGAACTCTGGAATGAAAATTAATATATATATTTTTTTTAACAAGTTCATTATATACATTTTTATTTTATATATTTTTTTAAATATAATTTTGTGATATTGTCTTTTGCATTTATTTATTTTGTCTATCTGATTAGATACAATGCCACCATCATTCTACTTTTTAAACAGTTTTACAACAGTAACATGAAGTAATAATATTCTATGAGCAACATTCTTATAATATGTAGAAACATAACATTATCTGGGTGCTTACCAGTCCTCTGGGTCACAGTCCCTGAATCCCTTTGCGAAAGGATTGCTGGCTATCTTTAGCTGTGTGATCTGCAAAACAAGGCAAAATCAACATTATGCACCATGCCAACTCCGCACATGTTGTTTTGACTGGCCCGGAAAGTGTTGAAATATCTCATAGGGTTGTGTAAAAAAGCTACATTTGTATTGTCTTTTCAAGCATTCAAAACAATAGTAAATATTTAAGCAAACAGAAAACTTCAATATTTGTGTAGTTTTTTTTTTATTTTTTATTTTTTTAAACATTTTATTAGTCCCTAAATAAATAGCATGGCAAATATATTTTAATTCTTAGCCCAGTACGTACAGTGTGTGTGTGTGTGTGTGTGTGTGTGTGTGTGAGGTGAGGGTGTGTGTGTGTGTGTGTGTGTGTGTGTGTGTATGTGTGTGTGGGAATGGGTGGGTGGGTGGGTGGTTGAGTGAGTGAGTGAGAAAGAGTGTGTGAGAAAATGATAAAATGGGCAAACACACAATGTTTCATTAAGTCTAACTAATAACTACAATGCAGTGCTGTCCATAATGGACGTATTTAGCGTGTAAAATTTTATCTGAGTACATATTATATTTTAGCATTTTTTGAGCGGGAAGTAGGCCATGTTATGAGTCATCTAACATTGAAATCATAGCGTAGCCTACCACACACTAAAAAAACACTGGAATAGTTGCAAAGCAGGCATCACAACAAAGCACACTGAATGAATATAAACATGCAATAATATAGGCTACTGTAAATAGAATAATTAAAGAAGTTATGTATAACAGGGCCTCTTACCCGGTGGTTCTGGTACGCAGTGACCGCCGTGAAGCGCGTCTCCTCGAACACAAACGTCTTGTAGTTCTCCTCCGCGTATTTCTCGCTGTCTTTGCGCGGGTCCACGTAAACCACGTGAAACCGGGGCTGGTAGCGATGCATCGAGTTTAGAATTATCTGCAATGAACAAAGAGCACGTTATTTTTAACATCTGGAACTGACCATATGTTGACTTTCAAAACAATATTAAAACTACGTCGTGGGCTTTCTGACAAATGCACAATATCTCAAAATTGTGTATGTAGTCCTGTTTGTTTATTTTTTATTTTTTTTACTAGATGAATTCTAAAACATAAACATTGAACGGTTGATTGTGTATAGGCACATGGTACGCTCCCCTTTCCTTTCATGAGTACCCTTCTGGTCACGAACTTTCAACCTTACTCTTGCGCACATAGGAATTAAGAAAAGCGGCACTTTAGTATTACGAGCCCGGTCTTATTTTCAGTGGTGAAATATTCCACTTCCTCTCCTCGCTTTTGGAGCTCAGCCTTGTGTGTTTTTGGCACACCTTTGTCAGAATTACAGGCTCTATATTCTGTTAAATCACGTGTATCGATCAATTTGAGAGTGCGTAAAGATAAAGCTCTCTTTTGCAACCAGCACTGTTTGAAACGTGTTCACCTAAACAGTACGTTCACTGCCATTGCGTAATAACTTGTAACATGAATCATGTCATAAAGTATCAGTTAAACATTGTCGGGTGTTTTCACTTTGTTTGTAGTTCTTAATTACAATCAATAAAGGTGTCAGACCCGCGCGTTATTCTCCAACGCGTTACAGTATATGCTGCGTAAAAGCACGTTGTGTACTGAGTACTCACGTGGCCGTTGTCGTCCAGGAGGTTATTGGTCAGTTTGAGTTTATCAAATGAGACGATCTGCTTCATCCACTGCGCGCCTTTAGCTGGGGAGTCCGGGTGATAATGCACCCTGCCCGGCGTAGCGGGGTCTGCCTTTCCCGCTACTAGCCACGAGGAGCTGTGGAAAGCATACCTGTGGAATAACACGTGCACCCGTTGAGAAACTTTTTTTTTGCCGCGTTTAAACTCTAGAGCTTGTACAACTGCAGTGTTCCATGTGCAGAGCAGACATAGGCAAAGTCATCACTATTCACTTTCTAAATAAGGAATATTTTTTACCTGTAACGTTTGTCGTCCACCGGCAAAAAGTCCATAAGAAGCATGTAATCTGCCATAGGGTCCATCCCAAATATTTTTACTTGAAAAGTTGGAAACATCCTCCTGTACAAATAAGAAAGTAATAATTTATTTTTAAATATGTGTTTAAATAGCACATTTCGATATATATACTTTAATAATTGTACTGTATGTATTGCCAAATTACGAAAATGCTGTAATTGCTGTGCGCAAAATTGAGTGGAGCGTCTTGATTTCTTTTGACCCATGCGCAAGTCACTTTAATTTTGCTTCTGCTCTTTTGACGATTTCCAGTAGCTAACACGCCGTGCTGAAAAAAAAACAACGTTTTTTGAAGTCTGATACTATAATTTAAGCCTACTTTATCGCTCTAGACTATATGCAGCTTTTAATTTTTTACGCACTTTTTTGCCCAACGAATAAAACATTTCTTTTCTGCCTATAGCCTAAATTTCTAACAAATTCGTAAACCCCGGTGACCACCAGCACCACTGGTAATCCGCCAAGTCAGTGAAAGGGATCCTAAAATCAACGCTCAATTAACGTCAGTGTTGTGGCTAGGTGAGGCTGGAGGAGCTTTTAAAGTGCTCCGCGGATCTCCTTTCCCCTGTCACACTGAAACGTTATCCCACTTTCAACATGAAACCGATCATCAAGACACTGGTATACTGCAATTCTATAAAGGAAGAATTGGATCTAACCCCAACATTAAGGTTTTACTACCAACAGCAAATTTCAGTCGTGCTTTTATTTTAATCCAGGCTAATTCAAATAAATGACAACAAAGTGTTTTTCTCTGATCCAAGAAGCTGCAAGACCATAAGGTTATAATAATAATGTCAGTAAAAGTGAGTGTTTTATTGACTACAAGCGATTGAACGTCAAAGTAGTTACACAATCCAATAGAAAATGTATAATAACGCATATAATTGCATTTATATTTATTATGAAAAACCTTCACACTAGTATCAGATTCTTTGTATAACCTATAGCAGATAGCAAATCAGTGTTTGTAAATGTAGGCTCGTTAATTCACAAGTATCTGTTAAAAAATAAATGGCCTCCAAACACCCAAATAATTTCAAAGCTCGAAAGGAGCTATTGTTATTAAAAAAAAAAAATTAAATTAAATGTAGCCTAATTATATTTCTATTACTGTTATGCTCGATGTTAAGATTATTTTTCAAACATTGGAATACATTTTTATGTATATAGTAAATTTGGCGATATTTAACTAATATAGCTACATCATATGCTTTGTTAATCCTTGATGCCTGTGTGTAGTGCTCACCTGCCCGCCTTCGTGACGATCATCTCTGTCCCGAGTTGATTAAACTCGTCCCATAGTGCTTTCATCTCCAGTTGAACGTTAATGTTGGCAACTTTTGGGTTTTTCTTCACGATGTTTTTGCTGTTTGGAGTAGAATTAGACGAGGACGAGGAGCAGTTAGGTGTTCCTCCGTCGCTGGCCGGGGCCTGGCCCGGGTTGGAGCCCGGGTAGTTGTAGCTGTGCTGCGCGGTGGGGCACGGCTCAAAGTGGGAATCATGTTGACCGTATGGGTCCCCGGGGGACGGAGAGAGGTGGTAGCCTCCCGGCGTGTTGAGGCTGCTCAGGCTGCTCGTCGTGAAGGCTGCAACATCGCAAAAATGGGACAGCTGCGTCAGCCACGGACTGGATATGGCTGAAATCATCCCAAAAAAGTGGATTTACTAAATGCGTCAAAATCGTTTGTCAGTGAAAATACATAGCAAGAGGTTCAGTCACTCCCAAATACAGATGTCACAAGTGTGGCATTTTTGGTTTAAAAGTTTCCGTGTTCAATAATATCCAGTTGCATCCAAAACAAATAAGCTATTGCATAGTTAAAACTTTCTGAAGGTGATGAAGTCCCAAAATAAAAGTTACTGAAAATAATAGAATTGCGAGTGCGTAAAACGGACGGCCCTGCAGATCAATCGCTCTCTGTAACTCCTGGTGTATTGAGTGTTCAAGTGTGAGGCAGGCTGGTCTCTTATCTGACGCGGAGGGCCTCCCCTTTGCGATAAAACCGGTTCTTATTCCTATTTAGATAAGGAACTGCAGGTAATGTGCCTTTTCCTTGCCTTGGGACGAAACTGATTGACAGAGAAGTGCGCCCCTTTTAATGGCCTTTCCGGCGCCCTGTTAAATTTATGGATAAGCCCCTAACACAAACAGTAGATGCGCTGGAGTCAACAAGGTAAACACTCATTGATTTGCATGAACAAACAAACAGGTGACCCTGGACTGCCTCTGATTGGACAAACGGATCAATGGATAGGACTCGGTTTATCTCCTCTCTTTACGCACAGTGTTTAGGCGAACATAAATAAAATATCCGTTATTGATTAAAGTTGACTGTGACAACAGGGGTCTCGCATTTTTTTCGCACTTTTTCATCATTTATGTTATTTTGCATTCAGCGCGCTCTTGACAGTTACTTTACTTCTTTTTCTTGCATTTGAGTCATACAAATCTGCAATAGTCTACTTTTGATTCTGCCATTTATAAACGTGAAATGTGGACCATTGTTGAATGGGACAGTGTTGCAATCGTAGGTATTAACAAACCCATTTACCTTCCATTTCCCGGGTGACAGTGCTGTAGTGCATTTTAAAAGACGTGCTGTTGTGCAGGTCTGGCTTGTCCAGGCCACCGCTGTTGTGTTTATCAAACGCCGCGTTTCCTGTTAGCTCCGCAGCCGAAATCAGAGAGGCAATACTGAAAGCATTGGCCTTGGGAGACAGGGGGCCGCCGTCGTCCATAGGCGAGAGATCGTGTTTTTAAAAATCTCCCTCCGCCTTCCCCTCCGCTTTCCAACCGTGCAGAAAGCAGGAGAAGGCTGCACACAATGGACAGGAACATGCGCCAAAACGGGACTCTTACATTCCGCCACGGCGCGCTTCGCAAGACTTGGAAAAAGTATTCCCAGAGTTTGGTAAAGATGAGGAAAGCGCTCCCCAACAGTTCTAAAGTCCGTCCCGGTGTCGGCTCATAGTTCACTGACGGAGCAAAGGCAGTTTCTCCTCCGGACGGTGGCGAGGTGGTGTCATCTGAGTCGTGCCTTCAGGAGACGCTACTACTGCTGCGAGAATGTCAGAGAGAGCTAGATCCACGCCTCCTCTGCGCCACCAGGAAAAAAGTGCCTGCGCTCTGTACACTGTGTTTTATTCCATCAAGACCTCGCTAGTCATTTGTACTATTTTGAAACCAGACAGTGCATGACGTTGGGATGAAACCTCTTTGTTTTACTCTATTGCTTCTCTCATGTACTGACTCAAAGTGCTTTGCCGAGATTGCATCACTGCAAATACAATAATAATGAAAAACATTCAGTTTTACAGTGCATAAATGACGTTTGACTTGTCCCCATTTACGCATGGCTACATGCACCGTGTTTTCACCTATGTAGACGCACAACCTTATAGCATTTGTAATTAATGACTTAGACAAAGTTTTCTAAGCCAATTCAACTTTATTCTCTTTTAAAATAGGTTATTATGCGCTTAATGGCTTTAAATTTAAGTCTACTTTAATCTCAGTGCTGTGTTTTACTCAGTTCTGCTTTACTCACATTGTTGGGGAGATGGCCACTTCAATAAGCGATGGCAAATGCTGTTTACCTGGCATATCGGGCCCAGTATCAAACTTGACCTCTAGTTGTGCGTCCGCTGACAGTGTCGCTGGTCCAGCTCTTTTAGTGTGCGCCAACCAAAAGCCAAATCTGTTTTGTGTATAGTGGCCTCCGAATAGAGCCTCATTTACACAGCAACGAGTGAATTAAAGGCGGAAGGCTGCAGCGGGGCACTAATGAGATAAACCAGTGAGGGGATTAGTGTTATTTGTTTTGGATGTTTCGCCGCTGGAGCCCGTGAGCATAAATAAACCTCAGTCTATTTGTTTAGGGAAATTGATAGTCTACATTTATTACTTGGAAACATTGAAAATTTTCTTTAATAAACGGATTATCAAATACATTAAAAAGTGTCATGTAATTATTTTTTGTTATCAGATATTCAGCCGATATTCAGCGTTCACGTTGTCACTGCCAGGTCGGAAGCGGATTTTGTGCGTGCCCAGGTGAGAACAGACAAAATGCAGAAGCGGATCCAAATGGAAAGAGACAGGAATTTGCTGCAGGCCGCAGGGCCGTGCTGCCCTCACTCAGAGAACAGTACTGTCCTAAACATTAAGCGCATTTAGGCCTATAAACAGCATAAAGAAAACAAGTAGTCTATTACACTTAAAACCCACCAATATAGGCCGAATGTATTTAGACTTCAGCGAAAAAAACTTAAAAAAAAAAAAGAAGGCAAAGTCTCTAGAATGGCCTATACGAATACGTATTATGTTACTCTTCCTTTCTGGCAAATAATTTAAGTCTGTAGCCTACGTTTAAAAATAAATCTAAACAGGCCCTAAATTCACATCTTAACTATCAAGCACTGTAAAGCATGTGTAAAGTAAGCACATTTTCCAAAATTCAAAATGTATTTCGCACACGCTTGCTTTTATTTATTTTTAGTCCCTATTTGTGTTAGGCCTACTTATTTTTTTATAATTTGAATTTATATAGGCTATTTATTTTAGAAACTTTAGTTATACTGCCATAATGATCCGCGACGTGGGCTTGTGTGACGCACTTTGCTTTTATGCTTTTGATATACCTTTTCATGACTCTCATTTGTTTTATTAAGGCTAAAATTGTAATGTAGCTACACATCGAAACTGAATTGGGTCAATATGCTATTCCAAGAATTATGTTGAAATAATATAATAAAAATAAAATAAGTAAAATTACAATAACCACGCAGCCATGTTTTCATTTCTGAAGTAGACCTGTCTGACTGAATGAAGCCGTTTATGGCGCTCCCAGTCTGATGTTTCCGAGTATTTAATTACACGCTCACATCATTTCACATATAATAAATCACAGGTTAATCCGCTGACCGTAAACACGATGATTTCTACATTCATGTTGCGTGACTGAAACCGTGGGGCTATGCACGGCTGCGCTCTCCACGCGTAAAACCCGAGCTTTTCTAAATATTAGTGCAAATCGCAGAATCAGAAGAGCGGAAGTGAGCTGTTGACCGCTGACAGCCGAGGCCAGGCCCTCTGCGCGATACGCACCGACAAATCAATAAACGCGCCCCAGGTATAGGACCCCACTGCAGCCACAGCACGTGACACACACCCTCAACTAAACACTCGGTTCTTATTATTTTAGGCCCTCGTCATTCGACCACGTTTAAATTTGTAGTTTTACAGGCCACAGTTTTAAATGGCAACAGTCAATATAACAGAAAGGAGATTAATATGAGCTAACAGCTAACGCAGCAGACCGCGTGTGCAGCAGCCGATCGTCAGAGTAAACAGCCAAAGTCTATGGATCGTACTTCTCCTATAAACCCCCAAACATTTTACCGCAGTGATGAGTAACTATCGTGCTATTATCTGTTTTGTCCAATTCATCATTTTGTTTAAGGAATCAGTCATTTAGTGGTAAATTGAATATTTACTGTGCAAGAGGCCAACTAAATATGTCACAATAAGAACCAGTGGCTATTTGAATGACATTAGTGTCATAATTTTAGCACACTGAAAAAGTCAAATACAAGGTTAATGTAGATCTATTTTTTTGTCTTTTTAAGGGCTGTTATTTTGAAAATATGTAAATAAATAAATACAATTTTAAGGCTTGTATTATTAAAAAAAAAAAAAAAAAAAAAAAAAAAAAATATATATATATATATATATATATATATATATATATATATATATATATATATATATATAACACATTTCAATAAGTACAAAGTTTCATCTTCTTTGGGTCCATCAGAAAAGAACACTAAAGTGGAAATAAAATGTGAAATAAAAACTCAGAGTTTTAATATCATGACACTCTCTCTGTGGTTTAAGATAGTCAAAAGTTTCTCGTTTTTACACTGAAAAAATAGCCAACATTTAGCTGTTCTGTGTCAAATTTTAGGAATCATTAAAATAGCTTTTCATTGTGTCTCCACAGTATGTCCAAGCTGCATGCACATCTCACTTGGTAGAAGTAGTAATTATTTACTAAGTATTAGTAACAAACTTAGCATAGCGTCAGGAATGCCTGTGTAGGACATAGAGACTGGGAATAGTGGGATGGGGGTGTTTGGTCAGATCTGTTTTCAAAATCACTTCTTCTCTTTCTGGCTGTTCTTTGTTTTAACACTGGGAAGCTTTTAGCTTTTGAAAAGTATCCTTTTCTATCTGTAGCACCGCGGCCCCAGTCGTCATCACCTCGCCTCTCCCCTCAGCCCTATTGGAGCGCCGGTAAATAGCTGGCATTCCTGCCACAAAGAAGCACTGATGTGGGCCCTGGGCCTCCCCGATCTGCTCAAATTAATAAGGCCTCCTCTTGGCGGAGGAGGATCTGCAGTCTTTGTCTCTAATACGTCTTAAGCCTCATATTAAACTCAAGGGCACAGTCTGGGCTCATTCTAAAGCCATCAGTGCCTGCTTGGCCTGTCTCTGTTAGTCCTGAGCAGAGAAGCATCCTCAGTCCTCGTGGCCTCATCGTTATCTGCCCCTCCCTGCTCCCCTCTGGTGCACTATTTATTTGAATACGAGAAGGTCTGCTTGTTGTTTCTGCAGCTGAGGTTTGAGTCTGAGACCCCCCTCTCTCTCCATGGCTGCCCCATCTGTCCTTCCACAGTATCAGCTGCCTCTTTTCCAGCCGGAGCTTTTCTGAACTTGGACACAGGTCTTAAAGGAACTGTATGCAGCCTGCACTCTTACTGTTTTAATAAGGTAAAACAATCACAACCTAGCCCGAGTTACCAGTCTGTTAACCTGCATATATAGACCCACTCAATTTTTTTTTTGTAGTCAGTCACTGAGCTGCAGAGGCTGCACTTGCACTTATTAATGATTTGCTGCAAGTGCTCTGGTTTAGATAGTGAGGACTCTGCTCACAGAGTCCTTTTAGATTTAAATCAGCTGCACTTGGTGACTGCATGTGTTGAAGTGGGTATCATGTCCATTAAACAGGACCACCCCCCACCCCCCGTTACTGGGATAGTGAAATTACAGGATCAGCAGCGCACATTGGGATCTGACCTTGAGGAATGCCAATACCACACCCCTGAAAGAGACCGCTGCAAAAGGAGACAGGAAAACGGGCTACAATGTGGCTTTTGTTTGGGTTTAGTACAGGAGATTTGGGGCGAGTGGGGAATATCGGGCCTTCCTGTGCTCCTCTTCTGAGATGAAGAAGCAGGAAGTCACACAGGAGGTAAACAATGTGCAAAATGGAACTGATACCAGCGCTTGGAATTCTCGCCCACATCCCTGCCGGTGTGATTCATGTTGACTGGTAATGGACACATTTTCCACTTAAAGACCTTGCCGCCATTTTAGAATTGTCCTTCCAACTGGTTTAGATACTCAGTTTGGTTAGCAGCTTTTCTGTATAATATAACTATATATATCTATAGTATATCGACATGCAACTATTACTATTTACTATGTAAAACTACAGCAAAAAGACAGACAATTATTTTTACAGATCATGGACCTTCATGAAGATGTTTGTCACATCAGCATTTGAAGTGAATTAAAGTATAAAGTTTGACGCATCACTATCTTGCAGTAATATTGACATAGCCTGGACTACTTCAGGAATATGTGCTCTTGAACTTGGTACACTGAGGATGTCTTCACAGCTAGAAAAAAGGTTTGGAATAAAGACTTTTTGACTAGACTTCAAGCTCATACCTCATGTTGGGGTCATTGCTGTTGCTTTG